TCTAGATGCATGAAATTTGACACTCTGTCTTTATTTATGGTCCGCGCTGCCTACAAATAAATGGTAAAGATAGCCATACCTTCTGCCGACACACGGGCTAGAGAGGCGACCATACCCACTGCATTTTACACACACCCACATGTCGGTGATGAAACTCCAACCACACGCCTCTATCGGCGGCCACGTCAGGAGGCAATGATGAGATAATGTTCTCCCGTGCCCTTCTCACATTTAACGANATGAAACCCCAACCACACGCCTCTATCGGCGGCCACGTCAGGAGGCAATGATGAGATAATGTTCTCCCGTGCCCTTCTCACATTTAACGACATGCCATTCCACAACACGGTAAATATGAAATATGTTCTCCCGCGCCGCACATGCCCCTACATGAAACACACAAAGTAAGTTGATGACGAAAATATATACACCCCGAGACGCGCTTGCTCCGCAACCACGTAAGGGTGCCATAATAGAACACCCGACAAACCTAGTTCCCCTAAATCTTCCTTCTACAACTTCCCAACATAACATACACATAGATACACACCCAACGCCCAGGTGGTCTGGTGGGTAGCCTCGTAGCCTGCTAAGGGTGGGTCCTGCGTAATTTTTTTGGACTCGAACATCGAACATCGAACAAGCGGTGTAATCATGTGATTGGCCAGGAAGGTCCAACAGCCCAAAGAGATGTTCGGGTTTTCGAGTTTTTGTACGCCGGATCTTCCAGGGGCGATTCCGCCTAAAACTCTAACATCTTTCCACAAAAACTAACTCGAAAACCTATACCTAACCTACAGTCCCGTGGACTATTGGGACCGAATTGGCGACAAAAAAGAAAACCCGCACGCATGCATCACGCACGTGCACCCAACACACACCACCAAAAAACACAATCTCGGGGAGAGGGAGAACGACAGAGAGGTTTGCAGGACAGCACCAGCAATACCCATGTCTGCACAGAGCGACGACGAGTTTGCGCTGGATCCCAGGGCCCCGCGTGCACAAACGGGGCCAGGTGTGAGGTTAATCACACGGGGGTTCCTTCCCGTCGCAACCTACAGCATTGCTGGACAGCCAAACAGCTGCAGCAGTGTTGGTGTGAGTCGGCAGGGTCCCGCGGCAATGCATGTGGGCATCAGGCCGCAAGGGATGCCGGGGTTCCACCCCGCGGCTTCGAGCGCTAGCTACTATCAACCGGTGCTGTTTTTGCTGGTGGGGCTGCTTCTTGTGCTCCTCCTCCTGGCGCCGTCCCTGTTCCTCGACACTCGTATCTTTTCGAGAGTCGAGTGCCCTTGGGTTTTCCGGGCGTGGTCAAACAACGCGGGCTGTTGAACGCAAAAACGTGTGTGTGTGGGATTTTTTTTCACGCTTTTTTGCAAATTTCAATGGACCCAAAAAGTCGAACTTCGAACTATCCGCTTGTTCGATGTTCGATGTTCGACTTTTCCAAAAATTACGTAGGACCCACCCTAAGGGCCAGGTCATGGGTTCAAGTCCCGACAGAGTGAGTGAGCTTTTTCTCGCTAATTGAATACTGGTCTCCGCTGGAAGCGATGCGCTGCAAATCTCGTTGTTGGTAAACTTGATCGACTTCATAAGTCGCGAGGGAAGGGATTGCTGTACCCTTCTCGCGATATAAATATCTCAGGCAGGAACCGCAGGAGGGGG